TGGGCGCGGTGCAGGGGGGTGGCGGGGGGGACTGTGGTGCACCCCATGGAGCAACTTGAGGGGGGGGCCGTGGGGACGGTGGTGCACCCCGTGGAGTGACTTGAGGGGGGGACGTGGGGACTGTGGTGCACCCTGTGGAGCAACTTGAGGGGGGGACGTGGGGACCGTGGTGCACCCCGTGGAGAGACTTGAGAGGGGGGGGACGTGGGGACCGTGGTGCACCCTGTGGAGCAACTTGAAGGGGGGGACATGGGGACCGTGGTGCACCCCGTGGAGAGACTTGAGGTGCTCCTGCGTGCTGGGGGTCCCCCACATCCCAGCTGGGATGGGATGCACAGGGCCGCGGCACCCCGTGGAGCGACTTGAGGGGGGGGACGTGGGGACCGTGGTGCACCCCATGGAGCGACTTGAGGGGGGGGACGTGGGGACCGTGGTGCACCCCGTGGAGAGACTTGACGGGGGGGACCATGGTGCACCCCGTGGAGAGACTTGACGGGGGGGACCATGGTGCACCCCGTGGAGAGACTTGACGGGGGGGACCATGGTGCACCCCGTGGAGAGACTTGACGGGGGGGACCATGGTGCACCCCGTGGAGAGACTTGACGGGGGGGACCATGGTGCACCCCGTGGAGAGACTTGACGGGGGGGACCATGGTGCACCCCGTGGAGAGACTTGACGGGGGGGACCATGGTGCACCCCGTGGAGAGACTTGACGGGGGGGACCATGGTGCACCCCGTGGAGAGACTTGACGGGGGGGACCATGGTGCACCCCGTGGAGAGACTTGACGGGGGGGACCATGGTGCACCCCGTGGAGAGACTTGACGGGGGGGACCATGGTGCACCCCGTGGAGAGACTTGACGGGGGGGACCATGGTGCACCCCGTGGAGAGACTTGACGGGGGGGACCATGGTGCACCCCGTGGAGAGACTTGACGGGGGGGACCATGGTGCACCCCGTGGAGAGACTTGACGGGGGGGACCATGGTGCACCCCGTGGAGAGACTTGACGGGGGGGACCATGGTGCACCCCGTGGAGAGACTTGACGGGGGGGACCATGGTGCACCCCGTGGAGTGACTTGAGGGGGGGCCGTGGGGACTGTGGTGCACCCCACGGAGCAACTTGAGGGGGACGTGGGGACCGTGGTGCACCCCGTGGAGAGACTTGAGGTGCTCCTGCGTGCTGGGGGTCCCCCACATCCCAGCTGGGATGGGATGCACAGGGCCGCGAGGACAGCCCTGGGTGGGGAGAGCGTGGAAGGTGATTGTGGAGCGGGAAGGTGGCTCGGAGCATCTCCAGGGCCTTTCCAGTGGTGACAGGAGCAAATGGCTGGGTGGCTGTGGGCAGAGGTGTCCCCGCAGCCATCCCGTAGCCAGCACGCTCACCCCAAAACCACTGCGGCCTCAGCCATCTCTGGCTCTCCTTTCTCCATAGTGGGTTTGCCACGGGGAGGAGGTGGTGCCATATTTGGGTCCTGGGTGCCCTTTGGAAAAAAGCATGGCCTGAAAGGTGTGGGGCTGGAAAGGGGCACTGGGCTGTTGGAGGGGAGCAGCTGTTTGATGCCCCTCCAGCTCCCCAGGCAGCCCTGGCCTCTGCCTCCTTGTGTGTTGCGTAGGATGAAGACATGTCTCCCTTTGCTTTGGGAAATGCCGACATCCAGCTCCCACCCTGGGCCTGGGGGGTGGCCAGTGGCATGTCTGGAGAGGAGGGAGGACCCCAGAGCTGGCTGGAACGCCAAGGAGAGTGGTTGCAGACTGCGTCGCTAACAAAAGCCTCTTTCAAGTCCATCCCTCCTCGTCCAGAGCCCCCCGGGGACAGACAGTGGCTTGTCCAGCTGCAGAAATTGCAGCACCAGCTCTTACACCCGTGCAGACCCCCAGGAGGAAGCTCTGGTTGCCTCTTCCCTTAAAGCTACTGTGAATTTGGCTTCCTCCAGCCCAAGATAAGCTCCACCCCTGCATCCTGGTGTTCCTCCTCGGCTTGGCCACAGCTGGCTGCTCCAGGGTGGCTGGTGCAGCTGGGGATGGTGTGGCTGGGGATGGACACAGTGGCAGCAGAGTTGTGGGGTGCCTTGAGCATGGGGTGTCTCAAGGGTGGGTGGCCAGGCTGGGGCTCACTGCAGGTCCGGGGGAGCCCTGCTCACTCCTTTGCCCCATCATGTTTGGTTTCGGGCTGAGCACATCTGGCTCCAAAGGATGCTGGGCTCCAGGATTCAGAGGTCCTCGTGGCCAGCAAGGCAGAGGCTGAGTCCTTCCCCTCCAAGTGGGCTGGGGATGCCCTATGGGGAAGCCCAACCACACTGCAGGGCAGATAAGGGGGCTAAGGCTGGTGCAAGACTGGGAGGGTACTCAGTTTTGGGGTGCCAAGTTTGTGAGGGCCTGGGGGCTTGAAGGAGCAGGGTGGACACAGAGTAGTTTCAGAGCAGCAGGCTCAGGAGAGGATCAGTGGGTCTGGGGTCTGGCAGAAAGAGGAAACTTGCCCCCACCTTTAATCAGTGACATTTCTAACATCCCTGCTGCCTGGTCCTGCTATGGGGCTGATGCTGGCATTGGGGTTCAGCAGTGGGGGAAGCTGGAATGCACAGGCACCTCCAGGCTTTGGAAGAGGCACCCAGGTTTTCATCTCCTCCCGTCATCCCAAGAGACGTGTTTTCTTTCCAAGCTGGGCAAAGTTGAGCTGATTTCTTCTTCTTCTTTTTTTTTATTTTCCTTTTTCTCCTTTTTTTTTTTAAGAGCTCTGGAGGACAATATCTTGCTCTAGAGCAGGGTGGAGGTTCCTGGTTGGTCCTCCCTGGCTCAACAAACCTCTGATAACCCCCCATAGCTCACGTGAAACACCAGGGATGGGGTTGGGGACATGGAATTGTCTCAACTCCTGCTCCCAGCTTGGAATGGGGGCCGAGTAGGGCCCGAGAAGTGATTGTCCCCCTGTACTCGGCACTGGTGAGGCCTCACCTTGAGTACTGTGTCCAGTTTTGGGCCCCCACCATAAAAAAGACATTGAGGTGCTGGAGCGGGTCCAGAGAAGGGCGACAAAGCTGGTGAGGGGTCTGGAGAATAAGTCTTATGAGGCGAGGCTGAGGGAACTGGGGTTATTCAGCCTGGAGAAGAGGAGGCTGAGGGGAGACCTTATTGCTCTCTACAACTCCCTGAAAGGAGGGTGTAGAGAGGTGGGGGTCGGTCTCTTTTCTCAAGTCACAGGCGACAGGACAAGAGGAAATGGCCTCAAGTTGCGCCAGGGGAGGTTCAGGCTGGATATTAGGAAAAATTTTTTCACTGAAAGGGTTCTCAGCCATTGGAATGGGCTGCCCAGGGAGGTGGTTGAGGCCCCATCCCTGGAGGTGTTCAAAAGACGGGTTGATGTAGTGCTGGGAGGTCTGGTTTAGTGATGATGCTCCTTGTTTGTTGTGTGGGTGTCTATTTTTGTCAGTTAGGTTGACGGTTGGACAAGATGATCTTTAAGGTCCCTTCCAACCTAGAAGATTCTGTGATTCTGTGAAAATGGCACGACGCACCCATTCCTGATGTGGAGGCCTCATCTGTTTTGGAGCCGAGGTGACTGGGTTTCCACCGCTCCTGGGAAACACAGAGTTAAAAAGCACCCGGCGTGCTCCATCCCATGGAGCTGGCGCCCGCCCGAGCGGTTGACATAGGAGAGGAGGAATCCAGCGCGCCCGGTGTGTGGGCGATGAGGATGTGCCTGCTGCCAAAACAACGGGAGGTGGCCTACAGAGGGCCGGCTCGCCCCAGCCAGATGTTCAGCCGCGTCGGGTAGGAGAGACTGTCCCGAGCAGAACTTCCCCAAACGCCTTGAGTAAAAGGAGTTGGGAAAGGAGGCGAGATCATCTGACGGGGTTGTGCTGGCTCGAGCCCCGTTCCCAGGGTGTTGCAAGAGAAGGGCTCTGATTTATTCCCCGCTGGGGCGACCCCATTAACTTGTCCCAGGATGAAATGGGGGATCATCGTGACCCTGGAGAGGGTATGGATGCAAAATATCGAGGTGCTGGAGCGAGTGCAGAGGAGGGCAACGAAACTAGTGAAGGGCCTAGAAGACAAATCATATGAAGAGCGGCTGAAGGAGCTGGGGCTGTTTAGTATGAGGAAGAGGAGGCTGAGGGGAGACCTCATCACTCTCTACAACTACTTGAAGGGACACTGTAGAGAGGTCGGGGCTGGTCTCTTCTCACAGGTAATTAACAATAGAACGAGAGGGAACGGCTTCAAGCTCCAACAGGGGAGGTTTAGATTGAACGTTAGGAAGGAATTTTTCACCCAAAGAGTGGTCGGGCATTGGAACAGGCTGCCCAGGGAGGGGGTTGAGTCACCGTCCCTGGATGTGTTTAAGGGACGTTTAGATGGGGTACTGAGGGACATGGTGTAGGGGAGGACTTTGTAGAGTAGGGGAGATGGTTGGACTTGATGATCCCAAGGGTCTCTTCCAACCTCAATGATTCTATGATTCTATGAAAATGCTTCCTGGTGGCTCTGTGATCCTTCAGCATCCCTGCACTCCAGCAGCATCCCCTGCTGCCTGCACAGGCACGTTGCTGTCATGGGCAAGATCTCTTTGGTCTCAGGGATGTCCTGGCCACAGTCAGAGGGCCAGCAAAGGGCAATGGGTGGCATTTTTGGGAGCTGCATCCTACCTGTGTGGTGGGAGCTACTCAAGGAGCGTTGCTGCCTTGGCCGTCCTGCAGTCTGAAGGAAAATTCCAGGCCCTGGGGAGGGTGAGCAGAGGGAGCTGCTGAAAAGTGGTGTTTGGGGGAGGCATGGCCAGTGGTATCCCCCCGAGGCGTCCTGCTGAGTGTGACTATCCTCACCAGGCTGGTTGTGACCATCCCCTTTCCCTTCTTCTTGCAGAGAACCTGAGCACCGAGGTCAGCCTCTTAGAGCTGATCGGAGACCCCCCGCCGGAGGAGATCCTCAAAATTTACGGCCCCGACAACAATCCCGGCTACGTCTTCGGCCCCAATGCCAACACAGGCCAGGTGGCCCGGTACCACCTGCCGAGCCCTTTCTACCGGGACTTCTCCATCCTGTTCCACATCCAGCCCACCACACCCAGGGCTGGTGTGCTCTTTGCCATCACAGACTCCTCGCAGAGCATCATCTATGTGGGCATCAAGCTCTCAGAGCTGCGGGCGGGCAAGCAGCAGATCATCTTCTACTACACAGAGCCGGGCTCACCCAGCTCATATGCAGCAGCCACCTTCACCGTGCCCACCTTGCTCAACCAGTGGACGCGCTTCGCCATCAGCGTGGAGGAGGACGAAGTTGTTCTCTACCTGGACTGTGAGGAGCACGAGCGGGTCCGTTTCGAGCGCTCCCCGGATGAGATGGAGCTGGAAGATGGCTCCGGGCTCTTTGTTGCTCAGGCTGGAGGGGCTGACCCAGATAAATATCAGGTAAGGGTCAACCCAAGGAGCACCTCCCAAGAAATTTGGGTGAGGCTGGAAGGACGTGACACCAGCCTGTGCTGGTTGAACCAACCTCTGTGCCCAGAAGACAAACCGATGGCCATGCTCTGTGTGTGTCCCTGGGAAAGGAGACACTTGAAGAGCTGGGAAAGGTGACCTGAGATGCCACCAACTTTATTGTCTTGGGTCTCACCAAAGCAAAGCCCTCAAGGTGGGCTGGCAGGAGGCAATGGGGTTGTGCTACAGCAGCCACCGTTGCCCGTACCTTTTCCAATAAATGCACAAAGTTCTCTTTGAATGTCCCCATTGCTAAAAACACCCAGCTCCTTTGGTGGAGGAGCTGTTTTGGCTGGTAAAATGTCTCTCTTAGCTGGAAAAAATGCTTGGGCTGGAGCATATCTTTGTTGGCTGACATTGGGTAGTATCTGCAGGAAGATTTTGGAGAGCAAGGAGAGACGTTGATAGCTCAGTCCATGATTTGAACATGACTTATGTTCTAGATAAGGTTTAGGGAAAGTGTGGGGGAAATGCCCAGCTGACATGGAAATCCCCCGCGATGCTTGAGAAGAGGAAAGTTCAGGATCCCACTGCCAGGTTTTTTCCTGGATTGAGCGTGGTTTGCCCAGCAACAGAGGCTTTGCTGAGTGGAGCAACACTTTTCCTGGGGAGCTTTGCAAAAAAAGCACGTTTATGAGCTTAAACATCACCTTGACTAACGAGCAGCCTCTACTGCAGTCCTAGTTAAATAGCTTCGGGCAGGAAAGCTCCCCCATGAAAAAGGGTTAATGTTTGATGGGCTAGAGACTGGTTTGCACCGGCATTTGGGTTGGTCCCTTAAGGTTTCACGAGCAACTTCTTGCTCTTGAGGAGCAATTTTTTGCTCTTGAACGTGCTGGGAGGGCCAGGGTCATGGCCGTGGAGGAACTCTCCCCAGCTGGAGTGGGTTTGGCACAATTTGGGAGGCAAAGCAGCAGCCTGGAGTAGAGCGAAGCACTCCTGCCTTTCTAGCAGGTGATATTCCTGAGCTTGCCAGCCACCCGCCCCCAGTTTTCCCACAGGGAATAGCGTGCCATGGGGGGATGGAGCCCGTCTGCCTCCCCGGGCTGAGAGGGGGGCGCGGGCTCGGCTGTTTCCCTGGCATCTGACTGCCTCGTGGTATTTCCATCGCTGACCAGCCCTGACTTGTGTTATCTGGAACTAATGGGGCGTCGTTAAAACGGAGCTGATTAAAACCTGGCCCTCGGTCAAGCTGCGAGATTGAGCTGCTCCCAGGCAGCTGGAGGGGGTCTCATCCAGGGTCTGTGGTTCTGGATCTGGTAACTTTTGTGGCAATAGGATGAGACCTGGAGGGGCAAAGGCTGCGGGTGATGCAGAAGCCTCTGGGACAGCAGATATCAAGGGGGTTACTGGAAATGGAGCCTTATCCATAGAATCATAGAATGGTTTGGGTTGGAAGAGACCTTAAAGATCATCTCATTCCAACCCCCTGCCCTGGGCAGGGACACCTCCCACCACACCAGGTTGCTCCAAGCCCCATCCAGCCTGGCCTTGAACCCCTCCAGGGATGGGGCAGCCACAGCGTCTCTGGGCAACCTGTTCCAGTGCCTCACCACCCTCACAGGAAGGATTTTCTTCCTCAAATCTAATCTCAATCTCCCCTCTTCCAATTTAAAACTGTTTCCCCTTGTCCTATCATTACCCTTCCTGGCAAAGAGTCCGTCTCCAGCTCTTCTATAGGCACCCTTCAGGTATTGAAAGGCCGCTATAAGGTCTCCCCGGAGCCTTCTCTTCTCCAGGCTGAACAATCCAAGGTCTGGCAAGAGGATTTGATGGCAGTTGGATGCACGACAGGACCCGTGGTGCTGTTACCCCCTCTGTTGGGGCAAATGGGCTGCAAAGGGCCCTTATAGCTATCTCCATGAGGTTACTATGGTTCAGGGCTGGAAACAAATTATTTCCAACGCCTGCAGCAAGCCCCAGGAGCAGGAAGGCCAGGCTGGAGTGTTTGGTTTCTCCAAGGTTGTGCTCGCTGCTGGTGCCCAGCGGGGAAGAGAGGGATGGGTTAGAGCCAGCTGTGGCAAGGCCAAGCAGCTGGAGGAGGTCACAACCCACTTGGGGGCATTTGCTTGGGAGAGGGATTTATGTTTTTAAAATCATATAGATATAAACAAATCTAATATATTTATAAGATATTAATTTTTTTATATACTTCTAATACAATATATAGACAGCATTTATTATATTATATAATATTTATAATGTGATGATGTCATAGCCAGCCTGGCTGAACTGCAACTGCCCCTGATTCTTGTTTTCTTAAACCCATGGTGTTTCCTTAGTGCAGCTCTCTCTCCTGGACGTGGTGCGCTGTGCTTTCAAGCGAGCCCAAATATTATTTTGGGTGCCTTGCCCAGAGAAGAGACACTGAGTGGGAGGTATCTGCCCTCTCCCCAGTTCACTTTCCGGCACAGTCCCCAGCAGCCTCCTGCAGGGACCGGAGGGATGGGCAGCATCCCGTCCTGGCAGCATCTCTGGGTGCTGTGCCATGCCAGCAGCGACCTGGGCAGGGGTCTGAGGTGTGCCAGGTGACCCTGCTCACCATGGGAGCCGTAAAGTTCAGGCTGGTACCCACACACCTCCCCAGCTGGTACAGAATCACAGAATCTTCTAGGTTGGAAGGGACCTTAAAGATCATCTTGTCCAACCGTCAACCTGACTGACAAAAATAGACACCCACCCAACAAACAAGGAGCATCATCACTAAACCAGACCTCCCAGCACTACATCAACCCGTCTTTTGAACACCTCCAGGGATGGGGCCTCAACCACCTCCCTGGGCAGCCCATTCCAATGCCTGAGAACCCTTTCAGTGAAAAAATTTTTCCTAATATCCAGCCTGAACCTCCCCTGGTGTAACTTGAGGCCATTTCCTCTCGTCCTGTCGCCTGGGACTTGAGAAAAGAGACCGACCCCCACCTCTCTACACCCTCCTTTCAGGGAGTTGGAGAGAGCAATAAGGTCTCCCCTCAGCCTCCTCTTCTCCAGGCTGAATACCCCCAGTTCCCTCAGCCTCTCCTCATAAGACTTGTGCTCCAGACCCCTCACCATCTTTGTCGCCCTTCTCTGGACCCTCTCCAGCACCTCAATGTCTTTTTTATGGTAGGGGGCCCAAAACTGGACACAGTACTCAAGGTGAGGCCTCACCAGTGCCGAGTACAGGGGGACAATCACCTCTCAGGCCCTACTCCCCACGCTGTTCCTGACACAGGCCAGGATGGGATACAGGGATGCTCTCATCCCGGGCAGTGCAGGTAGCTGGGCTGCGGGGGTTTTGTCTGGAGGCGGGATCCTTAGGAAGGAATTTTTTGGCAGTTTCTTGTATAAACAAGTGGTTTGGGTGTACACGGTGCTTGCAAAACCCAAATAAATGGTAAGGAAGTGCGGATTATCCTAAGAAATACAAAACCTGGGCTGGGACCTGCCAGTAGCTCTTGCGTGGAGCAGAGAGGCTGTCTGCAGCTGGGGAGCCCTCTGGAGAGGGGAAACAAGGAGCACAGCCAAAAAAAGGTCCCTGTGGAAGCGTTGCTGCCAGTCCTTCTGGATCCTGGCCACTCCTTCCACTCAGCCCACTGGGCTCAGGGGCTTTGTTCCATGGCTTGTGGTGCTGGGCACCGGGGCTGCAAGGTGGAAACTTCTCTGTGCTGGGTTAGGGATAGGTGCTCAGGTGGGACAGCGCTGTCTACGCCAGGTGAGAGAGCCTGATGTACGTGGGGCCCTTGGGGACGTGGTGGCTGGGTGACACGGCAGGTCACAGCACACTGTAGGGTGGCCTGTGTCACACGTCTGTCCATGGGCACCCATCCATCTGCAGCAGCTCTCTGTGTGGTTTCCTTCCAGGGGGTGATCGCCGATTTGAAGCTGCGAGGGGACCCACGGGCGGCCGAGCGCCAGTGCGAGGAAGAGGAGGATGACACCGAGGAGGTGAGCACTGGCAGCCCTGGCTGGGACAGGCTGGGGGGCTGCTGCCCTCTGCTCCTGGCTCACCCGTTGCTCCTTCTCCCTGGGCAAATGCAGGTCTCTGGCGATTTTGGCAGCGGGGCAGAAGGTGGACACCAACCCTCAGGGAAGGACAGGGTGAGTTGGTGCCCACAGGTGTTGCGCTCAGTGGCAGGACTCCAAGGTTTTAGGGATGAGGAGGTCTGGGTGCCCTCCATGGTTGAGGTCCTGGGATACCTGGTGGGGTCCTGGCTCCTGCCCCTTTTGAGAGGGCACCAGGAGGTGAACGACGCCACAGTGTCCCCTTATCGTTGGCACAGGGTGTTCTGGGGCTGGTGGACGCTGTCCCTGTCATCTCTCCTCCTGTGGCAGCGGGTGGTGGGATGAGGAGGTCTGGGTGCCCTCCATGGTTGAGGTCCTGGGGTACCTGGTGGGGTCCTGGCTCCTGCCCCTTTTGAGAGGGCACCAGGAGGTGAACGACACCGCAGTGTCCCCTTATTGGCACAGGGTGTTCCAGGGCTGGTGGATGCTGTCCCTGTCACCTCTCCTCCTGTGGCAGCGGGTGGTGGGATGAGGAGCGGTGGAGATTCCCCACAGCCTGTGTCACACGTCTGTCCATGGGCACCCATCCATCTGCAGCAGCTCTCTGTGTGGTTTCCTTCCAGGGGGTGATCGCCGATTTGAAGCTGCGAGGGGACCCCCGGGCGGCCGAGCGCCAGTGCGAGGAAGAGGAGGATGACACCGAGGAGGTGAGCACTGGCAGCCCTGGCTGGGACAGGCTGGGGGGCTGCTGCCCTCTGCTCCTGGCTCACCCGTTGCTCCTTCTCCCTGGGCAAATGCAGGTCTCTGGCGATTTTGGCAGCGGGGCAGAAGGTGGACACCAACCCTCAGGGAAGGACAGGGTGAGTTGGTGCCCACAGGTGTTGCGCTCAGTGGCAGGACTCCAAGGTTTTAGGGATGAGGAGGTCTGGGTGCCCTCCATGGTTGAGGTCCTGGGATACCTGGTGGGGTCCTGGCTCCTGCCCCTTTTGAGAGGCCACCAGGAGGTGAACGACACCACAGTGTCCCCTTATCATTGGCACAGGGTGTTCCAGGGCTGGTGGATGCTGTCCCTCTCACCTCTCCTCCTGTGGCACCGGGTGGTGGGATGAGGAGGTCTGGGTGCCCTCCATGGTTGAGGTCCTGGGATACCTGGTGGGGTCCTGGCTCCTGCCCCTTGAGAGGGCACCAGGAGGTGAACGACACCACAGTGTCCCCTTATCATTGGCACAGGGTGTTCCAGGGCTGGTGGATGCTGTCCCTGTCACGGTACCTGGTGGGGTCCTGGCTCCTGCCCCTTTTGAGAGGGCACCAGGAGGTGAACGACACCGCAGTGTCCCCTTATTGGCACAGGGTGTTCCAGGGCTGGTGGATGCTGTCCCTGTCACCTCTCCTCCTGTGGCAGCGGGTGGTGGGATGAGGAGCGGTGGAGATTCCCCACAGCAAGCTGAGAGGACCAGAGCAGAGGAGACACCGCAGGTCTCCACGGGAGGTAATGCCAGCAGCGGTGTCCCCTTCCCTGCTGTGCTGACTGGCTCCAGGGTCACCCCCATGGGGACGTGGCAGAGTGACCCTCCTCGAGCACAGCTGGGTCCCTTTTCCCTTCCCGCAGGCACCGGCCCCAAAGGTGAAAAAGGGGAGAAGGGCGAGCGTGGCCTGAAAGGGGACTCGGGGACCGGCAGCGTCGTGGGGATGGGCAGTGTCAAGGGTGAAAAGGTGGGTGAGAAAGGGGGTTGAGGATGCCACCGACGTGTCCGTGTTTGACACCCGCTCCTCTTTCTTTGTGTCCCGCAGGGGGAGAAAGGAGAGCTGGGTGTTAAGGTGAGCAGCGGTGGGGAAGCGGGGGGCAAAGCCGTGCCCACCTTGGGCTGCCACCCCCGGGGATGTGCTACCCCTCCCCGTTTCCCTCCCCTCCCCAGGGCAGCGCTGGATTTGGCTACCCGGGCTCCAAGGGCCAGAAAGGAGAGCCAGGTAACCCCGGCCCGCCGGGGACCCTCTCGCGGCATTCTGATGGCTCGGTGGTGGAGCAGGTCACCGGTCCCCCAGGGCCACCAGGGAAGGATGGAGCCCCTGGCAGGGATGGCGAGCCCGTGAGTCCCACCCCTGGGGGGTGCCCCCTCTCCCACCCCCCCCTGCCTGCTTTCCTGCCTGCACACTGACCTCTTCCCTCTCTGCCATCCCTAGGGTGATCCTGGCGAGGATGGCAAACCTGTAAGTGTGTGTGTGGGGTGGGAGGGGTGTGTGATGGGTGCTGGTCCCCCCCTTGCCTCACCACCCGCTGACACCCCCCCGTTCCCCTTTGCAGGGCGATATGGGGCCCCAGGGGTTCCCCGGGATGCCGGGGGAGCCTGGTCTGAAGGGGGAGAAGGTGAGTGCCCCACTGCCCCGCTTCCTCTCCGCAGTGGCTGGGCCACACTTGCAAACCACACTCTCTCCTCTGTGCCAGGGTGACCCAGGCGTAGGGCCAAGGGGACCCCCTGGACCACCCGGTCCTCCAGGACCTCCAGGACCATCATCCAAGCCTGACAAGCTGGTGGGTGCCCCTGGGATACAGGGGTTTGAGTGAGGGGTGTGGGCTTACAGAGGAGCGGGATGCTACTGCCAGCCCCCAGGCAGCATCCCCATGCCACCGGTGTGCCAGCCCTGGGCATAGGTTCCTTACATCACCCTTCTGCTTCTCCCCCAGACCTTCATCGACATGGAGGGCTCTGGCTTTGGCAGTGACCTGGAGACCCTGCGGGTGAGTGTGGGTCTCCACCTGTTGCCAGGGAGCAGGGAGGAGCATGGTCAGCCATTGGCCCTTCTTTTTCTTCTAGGGTCCGCGAGGGCCACCTGGTCCCCCAGGGCCACCCGGTGTGCCCGGTTTGCCAGGTGAGCCGGGACGGTTTGGGATGAACCGCACAGACCTGCAGGGACTGCCAGGGCTGCCGGGCAGGGACGGGACCCCTGGGTCCTCAGGGCCAGCGGTAGGTGTATGGAGTGGCCACGGGGACCCACCTTGGCCACCCCATGCTGCTGGGGCTGCGACTTCCCCCCTGTGGTGGTGGGGGTCTCAGTGCCCACCAGCCCCACGGGGTTTCCCCACGCTGGAGTCAACTCCTGGTCATCTTGCAGGGTCCTCAGGGTCCTCCTGGAAGAGATGGGGCACCTGGGCAGCCAGGGCCCAAAGGAGAGCAGGTGAGTGTCCTGTGTCCCCCAGAAACATGTCACAGCTCCCCCTCAGAGCAGATGGCACCATTGGCACATCTCCGGGAGGTCTCAGCTCCCTCTATACCTGGGTTGGGGAGCATCAACCTGTTCCTGGAGCAGGGCAAGCTTTACACTCTCTCCTCCTTCCTCTTCCTCCCTAGGGTGATGTGGGTGACCTTGGCCTCCCTGGCGCACCAGGACCCAAGGTACCGTGCCCATGGCAGGTTTCTTGCAGGGAGGAGGAAATCCCATTTGCAATGCAGCCTGGAGGCAGGTGTGCTCCGTGACAGGCCACCTCGCACCAGAGTGGGAAGGGGGGGGTTGCTGGTATTTGGGTTCCTCCTGGAGCAGAGCAGTGATGCAGCTCCAGGGTGTGTGGAGCCACTGAGCACCCCCGAGATGCTCACCAGGCTCCTGCCAACCTCACTTGGCTCTGCTCCAGGTGCTGCTGTCTTGGGAAGCAGGCAGAAAATAGGAGCGGGGTGTTTTGAGGCACAGAAGAGGGGTTTCCGGGGGGTTTTGCGTGCCCACACCCCATTTTCTGCACATCGCTCCCCCGCCAGCCTGCTTGAGCTTCTTTCTGCCCCTTATTCCCAAGTGTGGAAGTGAAGGCTTGCTGCAACCTGCACGATTCCCCTCCCTCGGGGGCCACGATGCCCCTTGGGATGACCCATCCATCCACCCCAGCCTGAGCTGGGGGCAAGAGCCTCAAGAGTTAGGAAAAATTTTTTCACTGAAAGGGTTATCAGCCATTGGAATGGGCTGCCCAGGGAGGTGGTTGAGGCCCCATCCCTGGAGGTGTTCAAAAGCCGGGTTGATGTAGTGCTGGGAGGTCTGGTTTAGTGATGATGCTCCTTGTTTGTTGTGTGGGTGTCTATTTTTGTCAGTCAGGTTGACGGTTGGACAAGATGATCTTTAAGGTCCCTTCCAACCTAGAAGATTCTGTGATTCTGTGATTCTGTTAAGGTTTCTTAACGTTGCCAACATCGAGAGGGCAGATGGGGTGGCAGTGGGCATAAGGGAGACCTTGGGAAGCACAAGGGTGCCTGTGAGCATCCCCGCTCTGTGCCGAGTGCTGCCGCCACCCCGGAGCCAGCAATGCATGCAAATGAGCTAAGATCACATTTATGATTTTAGACGAGCCTCTGGTGGCCACCATGCACATTACATGGAGAGCTGGGCCACGCCAGGACAGCTGGGACAAGGGATGCCATAGCTGGGCGATGACCTGTCCCTCAAGGGCGATGACCATCCATGCCCTGTCCCAAGGGGTGGTTTGAGGATGCAGAAGGGCACTGCCTCCCACTCGCAGACTCAAGGCAGGGACTGTTCCCACCTTGTCCCATCTGTCCCATTTTTCCCATTTTTTTTTTTTTTTCCTGGAAACATTCCAGGTCAGGTTGGATGGGCTCTGAGCAACCTGATCTAGTTGAAGATGTCTCTGCTCATTGCGGGGGAGGTTGGACTAGATGACCTTTAAAGATTCTTTCCAACCCAAACTATTCTATGATTCTTGTTCCCTTTTCAGGGCAGCAAGGGAGAAACAGGACCAGCAGGAGCCCCAGGAGAAATGGGGTTAGCTGGCCTTCCTGGGCCCATGGGACCCCGAGGGCTGCCGGGGCCCCCAGGTCCCCCAGGACCACCAGGGCTGGGCTACGAGGCTGGATTTGTAAGTGCTCACCCCTGCTATGGGGAGGTGGGATAAATTGGAGGGGGGGGGGCAGATGCAGCTCAGCCCCATCTCCCTCCCTTCCTAGGGTGACATGGAGGGCTCGGGGCTGCCATTTGCTGCCAGCTCCCCTGGACCGCCTGGCCCCGAAGGACCACAGGTAGCTCCACTCTTGCTCCTTCCCCTTCTCTCCATCCTGGGCTCCCCAGGGCATCCCCCATCGTTGTGTTACCCCTTGCTTATGCCCCACTTCTTGTTGCTTGCAGGGGGTGCCTGGACTGCAGGGGGTAAAGGTGAGGAGCCCTTCAAATGCCTTCCTTGCCCTTTGCCAAAGCCACCTGCAGGAGCCTGGCTCCTCGAAGAGTGCCCACAGGCATCCCGTGGGGATGCTCCTGCTGTGACACTTCTTTCCTTGCAGGGGGAGGTCGGCAGCCCCGGGCAGCCCGGCCTGCCAGGGCCGAAGGTAAGAAGACTGAGAGGTCGGGCCAGGCTGTGTGTGAGCCTCTGGAGTCGATGGAGTGCTGGGGAGGACTCCTGTGCTCCTCAACCTGGGGCTGTCAGGAGGATGCTCTGTGCTGCCTCTTGCCCTTTCCCATACCTCATTGCAGGGAGATGCTGGTGTGCCTGGCGTGGATGGCCGCCCTGGCCTGGAGGGCTTCCCCGGACCACAGGTAGGAGCATCAGCCCCTGCTTTCCAGAAACTCCTCCCTCACTCCAGGCAGGGTACCCTTGCTGGCTGCAGGGCCACTTTGCAGCAGCCAAAATCCATCCCCAGCAACCAAAATCTGCCCCCAGCAGCCAAAATCCTCCCCCTCCCCAGTGGCGTAGGCTGTTCCCCTGCTTTGGGACTGGGTTCACTGCATGCCAAGGGTGCCCACGCTGCTTGGGACCCCATCCTCATCAGCGTGCCACCCTGCTTGCCCTCACCTCCACCCAAAAACGTCGCACCCTGGCTCACTGCAGGTGGGAGGAGGGGTGCTGGGGGGGCTCTGAAAAAGGTTTTCCTGAGCCACGGGCAGGAGGGGGGTCTCCGCTTGTGAACCAGGGTCCAGCCACACGTGCTGCCAAGCAGGAAGCTCACCCCTGCCTGCTCCTCCTTCCAGGGACCCAAAGGTGACAGAGGCAGTCCCGGAGAGAAGGTAGGTACCAGCAGGGCTGGGGATGGGGACCAGCCAGCGGTGGCCCCGGGGGCTGACGGCTTTTATCTTCCAGGGTGAGCGAGGTCAAGATGGTGTGGGGCTGCCTGGCCCCCCTGGTCCACCTGGTCCCCCCGGACAGGTTGTCGCTGTCTCAAATAAAGATGTAAGTGAAGGCTCCTGGCTTCAGTGCAGCTGGGGGGAGCTCAAATTGAGGGGGGAAGGGGCCTGCCCAGCATCCATCATGCAGGGGGAGGCCTCTCCGGGAACTCAGACCTCTTCAGAGCAAAGACCAAGGTGAAAACCCCATTTTGTCTCTCTTTCCAGAAGTCTTTGGTGGCTTTGCCTGGTCCGGAGGTAAGTACCCCACTGCCACCCGCACCCAACCCTCAGCAGTGCCGGGTGGGCACCTGGTTTCTTCTGGAAAGAAGGAGGTGGCTCTTACAAACATCTCTGCTCCTTCCCACAGGGCAGACAGGGCCGCGCCGGCTTCCCGGTGAGTGGGTGGGAGGGCTGGGGACGGCAGGGGTGGCCCCGGTGAAAGCTCCGGGGGCACTTTTGGGAAACCTCCGGTTGCCAGTCCTGCTGTCCTTTGCCGTGGTGGTGATGGAAGGACCTTTGGGGTCTGCCTTTGGTGGGTCGGGGCTGAGGCAGGCTCTGTGCTCCTCCCTGCAGGGCCCAGTGGGACCGAAAGGAGATCAGGGGCCGTCTGGTCCCCAGGGCCCCCCGGGGTTGAAGGTAACTGCTCCAGGCCCGATCTGCCCTTCGGGGCGGTCGCACTCCTGGTTCCTCATCCTGCCAAGCCACCGGGTGCTGGTGGGGACACCACCCCCACCACGGGAGGGAGCCTGGTCCCTCCATCCCTTGTGCCTCCTCCTTTCTTGCAGGGGGAGAAGGGGGAGCCCGGTGTCATCATCAGCCCCGATGGGACGGTGGTCACTGCACAGGTGAAAGGAGAAAAGGTGAGTGCACTGTGGGAAGGGGGACATGTCCCTGTGTGATGGGTGCCAGGTGGTCATGGTGGTGACACCATTTCTGTCTCTGCAGGGGGAGCCAGGGCCGCAGGGACCGATGGGACCTTCAGTAAGTCACTGTCACCATCCTCCTCGTATCCCATGGGGAGGGATGGGGCTGATCCAGGGCAGAGGGGGACGGGGGTGCCCCTGCTCTGAGCACCCTCATCCTCATCTTCTCTCCCCTCCAGGGTCCCCAGGGACGAGGAGGGATGAAGGGAGAGATTGGCTTTCCAGGAAGACCTGTAAGACCTGCTCCCAGTTTGTTTGTTCCCTCAGCCATCGCCTCCTCCACTGCGTCTCCCCACCCCATTTGCATGTCTGGCCCTCACTGAATCCCCAAACCCTGTCGTGTCCCCGGGGGGCAGGGTGATGCTGGGGTGCTGAAGGCAATGCTGGGGTGTCAGGAGTCACCTGGTGCATCAGAGGCGACACCCTGGTCAACCTTGGGGTTGGCAGGGGGACAGGGACAAGGCTCATCTGTGCTGCTCATCCACAGGGACGTCCTGGCATGAACGGGCTGAAGGGTGAGAAGGGTGACCCCGCGGATGTCACTAGCCTGCTGGGCTTGAGGGTGAGCACTGCTGGCAGCCCCCATGGGCTGCTGGCCCAGCAGAGGGGGGGACACACACCAAGTGTCCCCCTGGGGACACAAATCCCTTTGGGAAAGGGCACATGCCTCCCTCTCTCAGGGACTGGCTGCCCCTCTGTGGGGCAAGGCATGGCCCTGGTGTTGCCCCACAGGGACTGTCCGCTTGCAGGACCCTGACACATCTTCTCTCCCCCTGCAGGGTCCCCCAGGACCCCCAGGGCCCCCAGGGCCCCCTGGGCCACCCGGCAGCATAGTCTACGACAGCAGCAATGTGAGTAACAGCCTGGTCACCGTGACAGGGACGCTGAGGGCTGGTGGCCGGGTTCCCCAGTACACCTTGCCTGGCTGGCTGAGGCAGGGAATGCTCCAGTGGCATCCTCACCAGGGCTGGCACGTGAGGCTGGCATCAGCATCACGTTAAGGAGGGCATCCCCGAGGCTGCTGCTGTCTCTGCAACTGCTTCCTTTGCATCTCTGCAGGCCTTCAGTGACTCTGGCCATCCCGTGCTGCCAGCTTTCCCCGGTAAGGGGGTGTCCCTTTCCCAGCCCCTTGGGAATCCCAGGGACCCCCAGCAAGGTGGGGCTGGCGGGAGAGACCCCCCCCTCTGTTAGAGGTGAGGCTGAGATGCTGCAGCACTGAGATGGCATCTTTCTGCTGCTCCCCATAGGTTTCCACCAGTTTCAAGGACAAAAGGGAGAGAAAGGTGACGCCGGAGCCCCAGGACCCCCAGGTGAGTGACCAGTCACCCAGAGGCAGGCAGAAGCCTCCTCTTCTCCAAACTCAACATGCCCAGTTCCCTCAGCCTCTCCTCATAGGACTCAGTCACCCAGAGGCAGGCAGGGGGTGGCTCGTGCCCATCCCGGCGTTCCTCTCCCCTCCTCTCCCTCTCCACAGGCCACTTTGCCTACGACCCGAGTCGCTTTGGTGCCAACCTGCAGGTAAGGCCTTTGCCCACCGGCCACGGCGCGCAGGGCTGGCACCCGATGTGATTCGGTGCAGCGGGTTGCACAGGGGGTGGCTCGTGCCCATCCCGGCGTTCCTCTCCCCTCCTCTCCCTCTCCACAGGCCACTTTGCCTACGACCCGAGTCGCTTTGGTGCCAACCTATTGGAGAGGCCTTTGCCCACCGGCCACGGCGCGCAGGGCTGGCACCCGATGTGATTCGGTGCAGCGGGTTGCACCCTGACTGCCCACCCTAAAACTCTGCCATCCCGCAGGGTGACAAGGGGGATCCGGGTCCCAAGGGTGAGAAGGGCGAGCCAGGCAGCACCCCACTCTATGGTCCCAGTGTCTCGGGGCTGCCAGGGCCTCCAGGGCCCCAGGGCTACCCTGGGCTGCCGGTGAGTACCCCACGGCACAGGGGGTGAGGGGGACATGGCGGGGGCAGCATCCCCAGGTGCTTTGCTCCAGGGATGCTCTCTCACACTGCCTAGGGTCCCAAGGGGGACAGTATCGTTGGGCCACCAGGGCCTCCTGGACCTCAGGGCCCCCCCGGGATTGGGTATGAGGGGCGGCAAGGCCCCCCTGGCCCTCCTGGGCCCCCCGGTCAACCCTCCTTCCCAGGCCCCCACCGACAAGGTGAGTTCCTGTGCCCCCCGCATCCCTCCCTGCGCCCCCTGCATCCCTCCCCGCACCCCCCACATCCCTCCCTGCACCCCCTGCATCCCTCCCTGCCCCCCCACATCCCTCCCTGCATCCCTCCCTGCACCCCCGCATCCCTCCCTGGACCCCCCCCATTCCTCTCTGCACCCCCTGCATCCTTCCCTGCACCCCCTGCATCCCTCCCTGCCCCCCCACATCCCTCCCTGCATCCCTCCCTGCACCCCCGCATCCCTCCCTGGACCCCCCCCATTCCTCTCTGCACCCCCTGCATCCTTCCCTGCACCCCCTGCATCCCTCCCTGCCCCCCCACATCCCTCCCTGCATCCCTCCCTGCACCCCCGCATCCCTCCCTGGACCCCCCCCATTCCTCTCTGCACCCCCTGCATCCTTCCCTGCACCCCCTGCATCCCTCCCTGCCCCCCCACATCCCTCCCTGCATCCCTCCCTGCACCCCCGCATCCCTCCCTGGACCCCCCCCATTCCTCTCTGCACCCCCTGCATCCTTCCCTGCACCCCCTGCATCCCTCCCTGCCCCCCCACATCCCTCCCTGCATCCCTCCCTGCACCCCCGCATCCCTCCCTGGACCCCCCCCATTCCTCTCTGCACCCCCTGCATCCTTCCCTGCACCCCCTGCATCCCTCCCTGCCCCCCCACATCCCTCCCTGCATCCCTCCCTGCACCCCCGCATCCCTCCCTGGACCCCCCCCATTCCTCTCTGCACCCCCTGCATCCTTCCCTGCACCCCCTGCATCCCTCCCTGCCCCCCCACATCCCTCCCTGCATCCCTCCCTGCACCCCCCGCATCCCTCCTGTGACCCATGCTGCAACCCTCTCCATCTCACCCTTTCCTCCTACCAGCTATCAGCATCCCTGGGCCCCCCGGACCACCGGGGCCCCCTGGACCACCAGGCACCGGCGGGACGTCCTTGGGGGTGAGTTGGGGCTCTGGAGGAGGGTTGCCTGGGGGCTGGCCGGCCGAGCCCTGAGCCACCCACCGGGCTGTGCCCGCAGCTGCACGCCCTGCCGAGCTACCAGGCCATGCTGAGTGCTGCCCAGGAGCTGCCCGAGGGAGGGCTCGTCTTCCTCACCGACCGGCAAGAGCTCTACGTCCGCCTGCGCGGGGGCTTCCGCCGGGTGCTGGTGAGTGGAGGGGGGTGGGAGCAGAGGAGGTGCCCTGCCTCGGGTCGCACTGCTCCACACCGAGGGGGTGCAGGTGGCATCACGCTGGGGTTTCGGTGGCATCCTCGGGGGATGCTCAGGCCTCCCTCCCATCCTCGCACAAAGAAGAGGAGGGGGGGTGTGTGACTGGGATCTGATGTGCCGTGTGTTTGCAGCTGGAGGAGCACACCCTGATCCCCAGCTCAGCTCTGGTGAGTCCCCTGTCCCCCATCCCCATCTCCATTCATCCCTCCCTGTCTTCATCCATACCTCCCCCATGGCATCCCCATCCTCATCCCCATCCCCAACCTGGCCCCATCCCTGCCCAGCACAGCACCACCCCTCAACCTGTCTCTCCCTCCCTCCCTCCTTAGGACAACGAGGTGTACGACAAGCCCCCCAGAGTTCACTATGCTGGCCCCCAGCCCCCGCTCCAGCCCCGCGGACCCCTGCATCCCCTTCGCAACCACAGCCCACCGCCCACCACCCGCCCCTGGCACAGGGACGAGGTGGTGGCCAACCAGCACCGCCTGCCAGAGCAACCCCTTCTCCACCACCAGCACGAGCTCCTCAACAGCTACTACATCCACCGCCGGCCGGACCCGGCCCCCGTGGCCGCCCACGTGCACCAGGACTTCCAGCCTGCCGTGAGTGCCACGCACCAGCTGAGGGGAGGTGACGATGGTGGCCAAAGCCACGTACCTCAAGACCTCTTGTCCCCTCTTGGCAGCTTCACCTGGTGGCCCTGAACGCCCCGCTGAGTGGCAGCATGCGTGGCATCCGGGGTGCGGACTTCCAGTGCTTCCAGCAAGCCCGGCAGGTTGGGCTGGCCGGCACCTTCCGTGCCTTCCTCTCCTCCCGCCTGCAGGACCTCTACAGCATCGTGCGCCGGGCCGACCGCGCCGCTGTGCCCATCGTCAACCTCCGGGTATATACACACGTGTCCCCTCCCCAACATCCTGCCAGCTCCGGGGGGGATGCAAAGCATCCCAAAGCCCCCATCACAGCGGGGACCGCGGAGCATCCCCTCCCTGGGGAGCTGCCAGGGCTCAGAGCTCCTGTGATCTTCTCGGGGCGCACACAGGGCTGACACACACCCCCCCTTTTTCCACCCTGGGGACCGCGGAGCATCCCCTCCCTGGGGAGCTGCCAGGGCTCAGAGCTCCTGTGATCTTCTCGAGGCGCACACAGGGCTGACACACACCTCCCTTTTTCCACCCCCCCCACCCCAGGACGAAGTGCTCTTCAGTAACTGGGAAGCCCTTTTCACGGGCAACGGGGCCCCACTGCGAGCTGGCACCCGCATCCTCTCCTTCGACGGCCGGGATGTCCTGCAGGATGCAGGATGGTGAGTGTGGGATCTCGCAGGTTAATTAGTGACAGAACGAGAGGGAATGGCTTCAAGCTCCAACAGGGTAGGTTTAGACTGAACATCAGGAAAGAATTTTTCACAGAAAGAGTGGTCGGGCATTGGAATGGGCTGCCCAGGGAGGGGGTTGAGTCACCATCCCTGGACGTGTTGAAGAGCTGTTTAGATGTGGTGTTGGGGAGAACTTTGTAGAGTAGGGTTGATGGTTGGACTTGATGATCCCAAGGGTCTTTTCCAACCTAAATGGTTCTATGATTGAGTGATGGGGAAAGAGGGGAGGGGGGGGGGGGGTCTGGATTGTGGTGGGGACAGCGGCAGCCCCCCACCTTTCTCCTTTCCAGGCCACAGAAGAGCATTTGGCACGGCTCAGACGCCAAGGGCCGGCGCTTGCCTGAGAGCTACTGCGAGACGTGGCGGACGGAGGAGCACGCTGTCACCGGCCAGGCTTCCTCCCTGGGCTCGGGCAAGCTGCTGGAGCAGGTGGCCAGCAGCTGCCAGCACACCTTCATCGTCCTCTGCATTGAGAACAGCTTCATGACCGCCGCCAAAAAGTGACACCTCCCCCTCGTCCCCTGGGTAGCCCATGCCTCCCCGGGGAGGGTCGGGCCAGCCTGCACCCATCATCCTCAGCCCTTCCATCTCCTGCCCTCGCCCCACAGGATTTTTCTCTTCCCACAGACCTGAAGCCAAAGAGTATCACCGTTGCCCCTGCCTTGGGACAGCAGGGGTTCACGTCCCACCTGGGGCAGGGCAGCCGTGGGCTGCTGCCTTCCTCCTCCTCCCCTTGCTCCACTTCTCTTCTAATCCCTAATATTTAACCGCTTCATCTTGTGTCCACCACCTGCTCAGATGCTCTTTTCAGGGTGGCTGGGCAGGAGGATGCTCAGCAGGGAGATTTCAGCGCTGGTTTGCCCTCCCAGAAAGCCTGCAAGGGGTTTCTCTGACACCCCCCCCCCCGCCCCCCCATCTCTCAGCCCCACATTGTCCTCGCCAGGAGCTTGGGGCCAGACCCAAATCCATGCTACTGGGACCACGGGGTCTTCTCCAGCTGAAAGTCCGGGCATCCCACCCCAGCAAGGGACTGTCCCATGGTGGTGCCAGGGGCTCTCCCTAGATGGTCTCCAGCCTCCCCC